TTATTCTGTTACTTTCAGTTACTCTTTTAGTTGTATTTCTCTATTATAAATAGATCACCCTATGTGTGAGTTATACACAAGAGAAATTCATTCCAAACCCTATTTTCTCTATATTCAACAGTGCTAAATAACAAATTTACTATTTTAACTTTGAATATTTCTTAACTTTTTATTAATACAAAATATTATACAAACTTTATATTCTCACCAATGTTATCTTGTATAATAAATCCATAACCATGATCTTATTTTAACAATATCATCTTAGAGCAACACAAATATCATGAAACTATGACAATGTTTTCATGAAGATGTTCAATATTGGAAAGAGAATGTTATTGAATTCATTTTTCACATATGAAATAACCTAATAAATTGTGTGAAGTTGTTCATCCTTGGTCAAGGATAATGAAAGAATGAGATATAAAGTTATCATACTTGGTCCAATTTGATAAATTTTCCTAATAATTCAAATAGGTATGATATGAACAAAGTTTGACCTATTTAACAAGTTTGATTTTTCACCTTTGGACCATTGCATTAGTCAATTTGACAATTATAATGGGTAAATCCATGAAGAGAAAGGATGCTAACAATGTCATAAGTACTTTTACACGTTGATGAATTAATGATATTGTGCTTAACCTTTATACTGGCACATGAGAAAGTATGCATGGGAAATCACCATTATCTTGTTAAAAACCTCATATCAATTTTAGAAGTATGTTGGAAATTAGTCATATATAAAAGTGAGGTTATAAGTCAATTTTGTTAGGTTAAATTTTTTTCTCAATATTTTTACTTTTAGTTATCATGTCACATGTTTTATTATTAGCTTGTGTAACTAATTACATTCTTAAAATTTGAATAATTTATCTTTAATAATCTCATTTCTCTTTTCTATCTTTTTTTATTTATTTGCAAGTGTCACATACTTTAATAATGGGGATGTACAATACTTTTTCATAGTTTAGTTGAAGTTAATCGAACCATTATTTTCATTTGAAAAATTAAATTTCTTCCTTTCATGGGTTATTATCACTAATACATAATAAACATTATATATATATATATATATTTTTTTTTTTTATTTTACACTTTTTATGTTTGACTAAACTCCAATATCAATATAAGAAATATAAATTTATGTTGAAGTAACTAACTGTAATTTTATGTCAAACGATGTCATAATCAACGGAAGTTTATCATAAGATGACATAGAAAAGTAAATGCACATGCATCAAAAGACATTGAAAAAAAAGAAACAAGAGATATGCACTAAGCACAACCTCTCAGTCTTATCGTCTTTATTTTTTAGCATCAAGTAAAAGTGGTCACAAAGAAGACCACCAATAGGATTAAGTAACACAAGTCAATCTTACAACAAATATTAAAAGTGTTTTATTTTGTACTTCAAATATTAAAGTCAATTACTAAACCCTAAATATATTCTAAATAATTTTAGTCGGACCAACAAATCCACAACATTGCTCTCACTTTGATGATGTCATCTTATAACAAATAGAAACATTATGAAGTTATGACAATGTTTGCATTAATATATTCACCATTGGAAAGGAAATGTTAGTTATTGGGAAATTGTTTAACAAATCATGTGAAGGTGATTAACCTTGTCATAACATAATGAAAGAACAATATAAAATTATCAAAGAGTTTAATAATTTTTTCTAATGACTCTAAAACTTATTTAGTGATAAGAATTTGATTCAACAAGTCTAATTTTTCAAGAAGCATAATTTTTCACCTTTGGTTAATTGGACTAATTAGAAAGATTAAAATAGGTGGGTCACCTAGTCAAACTTGGACCAACCCTACACGTCAAATAAAAAAGATTGATGACCTAGTTTAATATAAATTATAAAATAGATTATAATTTTTTTACCTAATATGATCTACGTACAGCTAACGAACTAATTTTCACTTCATTAAAAATTTAACAAATTATGAATCGGTCTATATCAAAATAATTAACTAAAAAAATATTTAAATAAAAATATATATTATTTTAAAATTTAAATTATATTAATAAAATTAATTTCATTTCAAATATAATAATTTAATTATAAATTTTTAGAGTATATATCCATCCACTTTGAAAATAAAAACTAAAAATTTATTGTCTAAATTGAATCAGACTTATTTTAATTCGACTTATTTACACTATGGTCTTAAGCTAGATTAGTTGGTATATTCATGAGTTGTCACATTTTATAAAATAATAATAATTTTTTAAATAAAAATAAGAATAATATTATTTTAGTATATATATTATAAATTATTTTTTTACTAAAAGAATTAAACGATGATAATGAAAAGTAATTTTTTAACTCTTATTTTAGAATTAATAAATATCTTCTTTTATAATTTATATATTAAATAATTATATTTTAAATAAAAATTAATTTTATTAATATAATTTATATTTTTAAAATATATTTTAATTTTTTATTTAAACTTTTTCTAATAATTATTTTATACAAACATGTTAATAATTTATTTAAATTTTAATCCAAAATATTAATTCGTTAGCCTGCTAACTTAAAATAAGGTCAAGCTAAATAAAAGATTATGATCCGTTTAAAATTATAAATTATATTGAATGATCAAATTTTTTCCCCTTATCAGACCATATTGGACTAAACAGCTCATTTTGAAAACTCTAATTAAAATTCTAAATTTTATATTTACTTAGAGGATAAATAGATATTTTATTAAAATAATTTATACTACATATATTTTTTAATAAAATAATATTATTTTTATTTTTATTTAAAAAAATTATTATTATTATTCTATAAAATAGATTACTTAAGAGTAATATCACCTAATTCCATTTTAATTATAACGTATTTATTGGAATTTATTAATGTTATAAGTAAATGTACATATTGATAACTCATTTAAGAGAGTATTTATTAAAAATAATTATTATATTTAATACGAGATGTGTTTTGAAGATTTTTTAAAGAAATGTGATTAAATTATAATATATAATTTTTTCCATTATCCCTAATTATGGTAGTATACAGTGTCCAAATATAATTGCATCTATAACATTTAAATAATTTGTCTATCATAATCCTATTTAATTGAAATTAATCAAATCATTCCCTATTAAAAAAAAGTGAAAATTTTTGTAATATATTTATCTTGCTAAAATGGTTAAGATACTTTCATTAATTGATTTTATAAAGCTTGAAAAGTTCTAATTTATTATTACCGTTAAATACAACCATTATGCAATTTTGCTTACGTTGAAAGTTTTATAATATTATAATATATATATATATATATATATATATATATATATATATATTTGGATTATTCCTAATTACAATTAAAATTTAAAATGATCCGAGACGTCTTTTAACCCTATTTATTTTATTATTATATTATTTTTATCAAAAGTTAAATCTAAATTAATAACATTATTAGATATTGAGTGAAATTCTTAAATTTGTAACGTTTTGCAAAAATTTTAGATTGACTTAGAAAGGTCATTTATACTCCAAATATTAAACTCGGTAAATAAATATATTACAATTCATACATTGAAATTGTTAATAAAACTCTAAATTACAACGATATGTCTGTATTTTCCTAATACTTTAAAAATAAGACTGCATTTATATATTATTGGCATGAGTTGATGGTAATTACTCACCTAGAACTGAGAAAGATGATCTTGGACAACAATCACGTAGAATATGATTAAGATGTTTAGACCATGATAGACTACGATTGAAATATTTCATGACCTCTGAACTTGTGGTTGCTGTGCATAGCATAACACATACCAAAGTTTATGTTTTATTACCAATCATTGTTAATTTATGTAAATTCAATTAATCATTAATTTTATAAGCATGATTTTTTATGAATAAAAAATGTGTAAGATGTCATATGCAAATAAAAGGCACTTTTTTTTAATATATTTTCATATAGTTAACCGTAGCATGTTATGTACTAACAGAATATTACTAGAAGTGACTTAACTACATGAATCATGTGTGACAAATTGAACCCAATGAAATAATGATTACATACGCTAGTTCCATCATTTTTCATCCATATATCATATCATCATTTGACAAAAACGTATGAGTAGCCCAATGTAAATCCCTTTTATTATACCAATATCTAATTTAAGTTATTTTTATATTTGTTTAATATGAATAATTTCAACTATCATAATATGATGGTTCTTTTAAACAAAAAAAGTGTGTAAAGAAAATGAAGTCGCTAAAAGCGTTTATAAACATATTCAATGATAATCTTAAATAAATAAAAAAACAAATAAACCCAATATCAAGACAACCAAAGTTATTTGAATTCCGATTCCGAATGCAATTTTTCTAAACCGATAAACCATGATAATTTATAAAACTAAATATTTGGAAAATTGGTATATGAATTTGCGCTAATATTTTTTATATAGTCTTATTATTTAAATTATACATGCAAGAAAAGTAACAATTAAGTAAATATATTGTTGAATTTATGTAAGAATATTCGTATGTTGTTGTCTTTTGTATTGTAAAAGAGGAAACATGATGAGGTTTTTGACCCCTCCTTTCCTGCAAAGCTGACAGCATATTCACATCCTCATGGTGTGCTTCACTTCAACAAACATTTTGTTTCAACTTGGAAACACTTGGTACATCACATAGTACTTAGTAATCATCACAGCTTTATTGTTTTTTCCACTACCATCATTTGGTAGTTTTGAAATAACAATTCTTAATTTCAGCATTCCAGGTTGAGTGGAGTAAGAAGTTCAATTTGATACTTTCATGATTTACAACAAATGACGTTTTCCTTAGGAATTAAATCACAGAAATGATTTAGTGGTTGGATTAAGGTGAAAAATAAAGTGGAACTTTACTTTAAACAGCTCTAAGATGTGTATTGCAAATATACTATTTCTAAGATGAGAAAGGAGGCATGGAGAATATACAATTTAAACAATGTGAAAAGTTTCAAACATCATCAGCATCACTTCCTGGAGCATGAGCGTCTTGAGGCCCCATGTAGAGGCTTCCATCAGGTCCCAACACCTTAAACCTACCCAATAATAAAGCACTTCTCACCAAAATGTGAACTAAGGAGTTCTTTCTCCCCTCTCATTGGAATCATTTTTCAAAAGGACGAATTTTAGATGTGTTTTCATGCTGTTCCTCAATCAGAATTAGAAAATCAAAGTTGTATAGTGTGCCTAAATATAGATTAACTAACTGGTTATTACCTTTCAAGGATAAACCTTCCTTCTTTGTATTTCTGAGCCTTCTCATGAGCAGCCTCCTAAAATGAAACAAAGTAAAACATGTTGAGAACAAAAGTTTCCCAATGCCAATGGCGTTTTGATAAGTAGACAAGTAAATTACAAAAACATGAGCTTTAAAAACTAGTTCTTACATATTTCCATCCAACAATGGACCCACAGACAACACAGAATATGTCAACAACAGTGTGCAATCCGGTGATCATCATCCGTTCTTCCTTCTCGCCAACAGTGACATTCACACTGTCATAACATAGATTCACATGTTACTCATATACAACAACTTCTAATAGTGATCTAAATTTTTCAATTTTCATCCGACGGCAATTGCAGTATTGGGGCATTCAAGATGTGGAAAGAAAGATAGAAGTACAATTTTTGGTAAAAAATAATGCAAATTCCACAACAAAGAAACTTTCAATTTTTAATAGCAAAGAAAATTTTATTGGCAGTAAAACAGGGGTATGCAACTAGAGCCACCATGCATAAGTATATTGGGTATATACATAATGGCACAACAATCCGAAAGGAATAAAGGTTCTACATCCACACCTACTAATGCTTATGCTAATTTTGTAGTGAGGAAGTCAAATAACACTTACACTTTATCAAAAAGATAAGCTTTCCCATGTCTGCAATGGAAAGACTAAGAGAAAAGCCGGGTTAGATTGTACACAAGTTCCAAAATTTTAGTCATAAATTTAGTTTGCAAAATGCATGTACAATCAAGGATTCAAATACATATTGGCCAAACTATGCAGAGAAACCCGATCCTAAGTGAAATAAATACTACCACTTTGATCTTTTTCATAAATCAACATGCAGTAAATCAACAAAACTTAAAGTGATTTATCTTTTCCCTCAAGCTTACCTACTATGGTACCAAAGTAGTCTAAGAAGAAAACCTTAGCACACTGGTGGTGGACTAAGTCTATAGACAAAATATAAAATACATATTGGTAACAAGGGGAAGTTAGACCAGCAACTATTCTAATCTTTCCCAATATCTATCTCATTTAACAAAATGATTTTGCAAAAAGTATAACAGAATCAGGGAGAGAATAGTCATAATGCTCTAGAAGTTTCATGTAAAGGCCTCATATACCAAATCTCAGACAGATTCAAATAAAAACATAGTAGGCATATAACTTCTTGATTTATGAAATTTGAATGTATTGATAGAGACAAAATCCATAGTTTAAACAAGTTCAGATAGGGATGTTAATAGACAAACAGAGTTTAACAAGTCCCCTGGGACTAGGAGCAGAATCATTCAACTATAATTGCAAAGTTTTGCAAAGATAAATTAGGTAATTCCATCAAAAGGTCAACTTAAGAAGTCTTAAAGATATATTTGGAAAGATCTTTCAAACACTTGGTCATTGTGGTTTCTGATTCATTTATTTATTGCCATGCCCTGTATGAAAATTAACAAAACTATACCACCCATTTACATGGCTGCACCAGTTACAATCGTCGACATGAAAGAGTAAAACTATATCATCATAGAATCAAGATATTCATCTATGCAAGAAAACCTGTTGCTAAGTATCATCAGCATTTGGTCTGGATAAAAACAACACAATCACCATGCCATTACATGTTCGAACTAATACATTCCCACGCGAAATGAAAAACTAAAAGTGGATACTTTATCACTGTCCAAACATATTTACAATTAGTCCATATAGCACATCCTTCTACAGCCAAAGCAAGGATAACCTATCAATGCAACAGCAGAGTATAACATATCGACCCAACACAACCAAAAAACAAAAGGCATTGTTACATGAAATGACACGTGACACCACAGACACACCAAAACAAAAAAATTAAAAAATGTAACATGTTATGGACGTATATATAAGAAACACTGATGAACTAGTACTGCTGATGGTTAAAAATAGAACATCAACAAATATCTCGAAATTGGAACCATATATAAACATGGTATGTCATTGAAAATGTTGAAAAAGCGATGCTTAAAATGTGCTCTGTCTGTATTCCTAATAGCACTGTTTACATGTGCCATTCTGAGTGTTAGCATTGAAAATGTTTGACACGGACGCTGTTCAGAACATAAACTCAACAAGATAAAATATATTAACTAGTGGAATATCTCATTTGATATTTTTTTATCCCCCCTTGAGTTTATCACGTCCTATGTTCTTCAATTGTCAACCCTTGTCTCGGGTGAATCACTACATCCCTCTCATTATGATCAACCAGTAAGGAACATCGTACATAAACCTTACATATATATCAACTAGTTATCTAGCAAAAACCCAGAATTATAGTTAAAAATATGTACATTCAGACACCAAGAAATCAAATTAAAGTTCAAAGGAAGGAAAAACAGGGAGAAAAAAATTTAAAAACCTTGGAGATAATGTCATCATCAAGAGCAAAATGTGTTTGGCAGTGTTTGCAGCTGTAGAAGTTTCCTTCCAGATTGATCAAGAATAATCTTCCCATGTCTCCCTTTACACCAATCTATCAACTTGGGACCATCCACAAAACAGTTAACCCAAACACTACTCAAAAAACCACCGAACAAGAGAGAATAAAAAAATAATAATAAAATACAAACTCGCCAACCCAAAAAGATAAAAATAAAAAACAAAGAGAACCCAGATAGAGTAAAGGCCAGAAACTTAGTAAAATATGAAATTTAAATTGAAAGCATGCAATGTAACCGACCATGAAGGCAAAAAATCAATAAAAAGTTTAAATAAGAAAGACGTGATTGTGAATGAGAAAATGGGTTTTGATGGAAGGTTACCCAGAAAGAGGAAGAGAGAGAGCAGAGAGGGTATTGTGAAGGAGAGAAGAGTGGTAGTGCAATTCAATTAATGGGTCTCTGAAATTTGAAGGTTGTTAATTACAATGTAAAATGAAAGGACGTTGGCCCTGAGAATCACGACAATCGTTACAAACTTTGTGTGCCTTCTTCCTCTATGCATGTCTTAAATAAAATTAAAATTAAAATGAAGGTGTTTTTTTATAAAGAACTTTTCAGAATGTATATTTTACATTATAAAATACCCACTTCAAATAGAATTAATGAAATAAAATAAAATTAAAAAACTCGTCATCTTATTAATTATATTTTCAACTTAACTAAGATATATTACGTCGTGATTATGATTTAATATTATTATATCAATAAGAGTAATTTACTTTTACAACTATTACTTTAAATATCTAAATGACTTTTATAATTACTAAACAATATCGAACTTTTTACTAATGTATCAAAATCAAATTATTTGAGTATTATTCACATAATTTTTTTCATAAATATGCATTTATATAAAATTGCATTGGCGTTGTCTTCTATGTTTATTTTCTTATGCTAAATTTGTTTTAAAATTCAATCCTGATATGATTTTTTTTATTACATTTTAGCTCCCCAAAGTTACATTTTTTTTATTACATTTCAATCCTGATATGAGTTTTCCTTGTAACTTATTGAAACGTTTATTCACACTCTAGCTGCAAGGATAGCCGGTGCTCTTCAAATTCCAATAATTTTAAGAGGCATTTAAATTACAGCTTAAATAAATACTTAAGATAAAAGCTTTTATTAAAAAGTCGAAAAAAATATGAAACACAAAGGGAAATTGAATTGTCTTTTTATTTTTTATATCTTTTAGAAAAAGATTGAAGAAATGGTTTGAAAAAAAAACCATTTGATGAAGACTTAGAGAGAGACAAGTTATTCTAAAAATAATTTTATTGGAAATTTTCTTCTATGACTTTTTTTTATATATATATTACTTAAACATAGTTATAAAAACTTTATATGACATGTAGATATTATAAGAACAATATTTAAATGAAGTGTTGTAAATAATATTGGTATTATTAATCAATCAAATTTGGGGTTTTATTTTAGAAATAAACAATATTTAATGATATTTTATTATACAAATTTCAAATTTCCAATTTTAATGGAATAACATCACTTTCCATGTTTTATTATAATTAAATCATACTACAAATTATAAATTAAAATAAAAGTTCAGTATTATAGTATATTTTAACCATCTCTTGATTTAGTAATTTAATTGGTAGAGGTAATAAAACATGTAAACTTGTTCAATAAAAAAACAATATAAAAATATAAAATAGGATCAAGTTATAGATTTTGATCGCTCCAAGGACAAGCCCACCAATTTTTTTATATATAGTCTTTTATATATTTGTAAAACACATTCTTAATTATATAAATTCTAAATTTTTACTCATTCATTAATATTTTTTATTGAATAAATTGAGAAAATTATTATATTTTTATATTAAAATATTCAATTATAATTAATAATTTAAACTTATTTTGTTAATATTTATAATTTAAATTATGATATTATAATATATTTATATAATTTAACCATAACAAAAAATATAATATTTTAAATTATAATTTTTTTAATTTTATTTTAATATATGAATATATTTTTAAAAGTGATCACCAAATCAATTCACTTGTTTCATCAAGTTGACATGCCAGAGACAAACCAGCTAGACAAAATAAATCAAAATAAACTCGTGTTATAACTATAACTAATTTTAGATAAAATGACAAGTTAAACTATTTTGTTATCTTAGGAAGTTCATATATCTTAGATTAAGAATTAATTTTAAGTTTTAAAAATTCAAATTTAACCCTTTAACAATATTTATACAACAGCAGTAAAACCGGTTTTTAATATGTAATCAGTTTTTTTTTAATATTAAAATTGATTTCCGAAAACAAAACATGTTATGATTTTGTTTTCCCTTTAAATGGTTGTAGTTTGCCTATTTAACCTATCCTACTGCATATCTCAGAAGAGAGCGGTCGGTTATCACATTTGAACTAGCATCCATAGAAACATAGTGTATGTTGAGTGTTAAACCTTTTCTGCTTAAGAAGGAGCAATTAAGATATCATTCCTAATGATTCAAAGTTTATACTAAACAAATCCGGTCATATTTTGGCAACCTTAAAAGCAAACAACCTCCTATATAATCCACTTTTATTAATATAATAATCATTAACATTAAAAGGTTTAATGAAAATAAATAAAAAATTAAAATTATTATTATAATATAAAATGCAATTGTTGATGGGTTGTTTGGGTGAATAGTAGTGTCAAAATAGTTTTTTCAATCAACAATAGGTTAGTAAGTCTCCTTTCCACTTACACAACTTCTGGTTTAGTTCTTTCACACTTTCCTTCAGGACACCAAACAACAGAGTTGGAATCCAATTATGCAACAACGAGAGTAGCCTTATTCCAACACAGAAGATAATCCTTGCGGTGGAGTTTTCTTCTCGACAGCTCCTATTCTATGAGGAGGCCACACAACGTGGGTAACACTTCCCCGAATTAGGCCCAAAGGAATCTGCAAATTTATCAGGTCACATCAAAATTATAAGAAAAACCATTAGAAAATAATTTCTGGCAAGGCTAACATTGTAACTTCCAAACTACTTAACAAACATTTTGGTAATTTGACTGATACATTGGCCTAATGTCAAGGTTTGCCTAGGTGCACCAAAAGACAGCCACTAGACGAGTTGAAACATGCGGAATGTAATTATTAGCATGATCTGGCGGTGAAACTACAGTAAATAGCATTTTTCTTGAAAACATTAAGCAATGCTATCTAATCTAATGATGCTGACTTAATCAGAAAAATTCCTAGGCTCTACTGCTTCATAATAAGTCAACACAAATGCAAATTGACAGATAAAATACGTTCTTTCTTTTTCTAGCAATAGAAGCCTAGTTGGTCAAGTTTTGCCAGGTAATTATTACGAACCATGATTTCTTCTACTCGTGTAAATATTGAGGTTTTTCTCACAATGTAATACTAAACTAAAGTATGATTCAGAAGTCCTCTTCAATTTTGTATTCTCTCATTTGAAGCATTCGCCCTGTACACGAGACCTGTTTTTCTTGCTTTATTTTGCATATCACAACAGTATCCTGCTGGAAACTCACTGATAATAACAACTTACTGGTCCAAATAACCTTGAATCCATGCTAGAATCTGCGTTGTCTCCCTCGACCCAACAGTGTCCTGGTGGAATCTGAATCACATCATGGTTATAATGATCGCCACACCATTCACCAGGTAATGCAACTATTCTCTTTATGAGTGTCTCCTTGTGATTCATTGGTGAGCTACAGTAGTATCAGAATGCCAATTAAAACTTCCAAAAACAGTAAAATAGGTCTCAAATGTAAAATATAATAAAACATTAATTATCTTAATAGTATATTTCAAGATCTTAAATTAGCATCATTTTGAGCAAGAGCCAACCAATGAATACAAGAATCCATTAATGTTTATAAGCCAGATAGTATACATTCACAAAATGAAGCACCCGCTGCAATAATTTCTACTGCGATGCAATATTAATCCAAAGACATGATAGTTCAACATGCTCTACAGTCACCTGGTAAATTATCTTGCGGACATCATGTATAACAAAGGAAGATATGGCATATAAATGCCAATATAATTTTAAGCAAACAATACTTGGAAAAGGATGGACAAAAATATTACCGGAAGACCACCACATCGCCATTTGAAAATTTGTACGTCCCGAGGCAAAATTTCTCAACCAAGACATAGTCATCTGCAGTATAATTAATGGTCAAACAAAAATCTGCAATTGTAAAGGTAATTCTTTCTTATGAACCCCTTCAGTAAGAAAAATACCAAAAAAATCTCCCATTTGAGAACCGGATTTAGGATTTAATGTGGGAGACATAGAGCCACCTCGAACAGGAACAACACTCGCAAAACGATCAGACACAGTCACAGTGATGACAGCAGCTGTGGCGAATTTTTTAGTACAGTTCCATAGAAAACTGCTGAGCCCCATGTGTTTAGATGCGCATCTATGTCAAATATCCACACTCCGCATCCAGATTTGCACGGCACAGCTATAGGAAAAGGGCAACTGAAAATAAACACATTAAAAAAATTACAAACTACAAGAAAATATTTTGGTCAGTCTCAAATCTCAAAAAAAGAATCAAACTAACATTAACGAGAAAAGTAGCGCAGAAAAATCAAGCAAGCAGGCCACCAATTTACATACACAATCAGAAAACCTAAGTTCAACTATATCAGAAGAAGAGAATAATTATCAGTTGAACATATTAATGCTAAACCAATCCACCAGAATGACAAGTTGCCAAGTACTAAAGTTTAGAGGTGCGCATCTCCTGGCTTCTGCATGCAGCTAGTTCGTATCATTGTTAATCCAGTGAAATGTGATCCAATGGACCCCCTATAGTGTTGGAAGAAAATGGCACATGTTCATCAACTGGGCAATCTGAAAATGCCAAATTGCAAGGTTCACATTGAAGAGACAGTGAAACTGGCAATATTTATAATTCGTACACTTGAAAAATAAAATAAAAAACCCAACACTGAATTAGGCATTTAATCAAACACCTTACAAGCACATTAGACAAAAAGGGTATAAAAGTACAACCAAAATTTCCGTTGAAATTAGTGAAAGACCTTACATATGAAGGTATGGGCAAACTTAGAGGAGAAGGGGGAGAATTAATTACCAGGCAACGAAGAGACGAATGATGGGTGTAAGGGTAACTCTGTTATTAACTGGAAATGGTGTTGTGAGCTAAACTTGCGTAAGAATGAAACTCTAGATTCGGAGGGGTTTTCATTTATATAAACATTTGAAATTAAAATTTAAAAAATGTAAAAACAAAATTGTTATTTGACATTTTCTGAAAAAAAAATAATGATTTTCTTTTTGAAAATTAATTAGAAATTCATTTCTCTCCATTTTTCTTATAAATTTTTTCATTATTTTTTTATTTTAATATTTTAAAATATAATTATCTTAATGCATGTCTTACCAATTAAATTTAATTATATATGAGATTTTTTTAATAATACAATATTTATCCTGTACACAAAATTAATCATAATTTATATATTTTTCTCTTTTAAATAATTTAAAAATTTTAAAACTATAATGATATTTAAAAATCCCTTATAAATTTTAATTAATCTTAATTATATTATAACCGATATTAGTCTCACATCCTATTTTCTCAAAAATATTTTATTAAAACATAAACATAAGGCCTTTATTATGAAAACGAAACACCATGAAGTAATAATTTTAAAATATGGAGTATACATTTTTTAGATATTTTTTAGATATTATTTGATATTGTTAAGATATTGTAACCACAATAACAAACAATATCTTCTGTTTATTCTGTTACTTTCAGTTACTTTTTTAGTTGTATCTCTCTACTATAAATAGACCACCCTATGTGTGATTTATACACAAGGGAAATTAATTCCAAACCCTATTTTCTCTATATTCAATATGGTATCTAGAGCTTAAAATTATCTTGAAATTTTTTTTTCCGCCTTTTATCCACTGTTGGAGCCGCCCCACCGCTGCTGGTAAACTGATCCTCCACATCAGAAAAGAATTATCTTTGTTACTGAATTTTATTTGGTAGTGTGAAAGTGCATGTTTAGGAAAGTTCTGGCAAGGAAAGACTTGGTATTTAAGTGTGTCCATTAGTGACTCACCTCTCTTTCCTGAGAACTTACCTGGTGTACTAATTCACGTTGTTGTCACCGCTGCCGCTGGAGCAGTCACCGGATCCGTCGCTGCCAGAGAATTCGCCGGAGTTTCATTTTTTTTTGACCGGTGACATATGATTTTGCTTGTCTCGGTCAGGTGACCACCTTGCCATTGAGATCACCACTATCGGAGTTGGTCGTCCTATTGTCTCCTGCGCCATTTAGTATTGGTGAACTTATTTTTAGTATTCTCATTTTGGATTTGTGCTTCGTGGGTTAATTGGATTACTTTGGATTGTTTTAGGGTTTGTTCTCCCGCTCTTCATGACTTCTTCCACTTCTTCCACTTCTTCCACTATTTCCAATTTTGTTAACGATTCTTTTGTGTTGACATCCCATCGTGATGACCGGACTCGCCCTCGCAAACAGGAAAAAGGGCGTCCTAAGTGTGAACATTGTGGCAAGCTAGGTCACAAGATTAACAAGTGTTATACATTACATGGTCGTCCTCCTCAATCTACTGTAGTTGTTCACACCAATCTTTCTCCACCTTTATCTGCAGGGGATCTTCCTTCTTCTATTGCATCCGACATGCCTGCTATATTCAACAAATATCTCGAATGGTATAAGGATCAACAGTCTTCTAGTTCTATTATATCTGTCACACATACAAATACATATTTTGCTGGTCTGACCCAATCATTTTTTCCTGGTCCTTGGGTTTTTGATTCGGGAGCCACTGATCATATTACTGGTAAAAAATCTTTGTTCTCCTCTTTATCCTCTCCTAATCATTTACCTTCTGTTACACTGGCTGATGGCTCTAGAGTATCATCTCATGGTGTTGGAACGGTTAAACTTTTTCCTTCTTTAACCATTGATAATGTTCTTTATGTCCCTGAGTCTCCTTTTAACCTGTTGTCCATCAGTCGTCTAACTCGTTCTCTTGATTGTGTTATTACTTTTACCAATAATTCTGTGTGTTTACAGGATCGGAGTTCGAAACAGGTGATTGACACAGGATGTGAGTCTCATGGTTTTTATTATCTCCGTCCCTCTACACATGTTAATATAGTTATGGAGTCTCCCTCTCTTCTTCATGCTCAGTTAGGTCATCCAAGTCTTTCCAAGTTACAGAAATTTGTCCCTGCCTTGTCCAACTTATCTAGTTTGGCGTGTGAGTCATGTCAATTAGACAAGTATAGTTGTACTTCCTTTCTTCTTAGTTTCACACGTGGTGCTTCGTCCCCTTTTGCTGTGGTTCACTCTGACATTTGGGGACCTAGCCGCGTTAAGTCTACTTTAGGTTTTCAATACTTTGTTACTTTCATTGATAATTATTCTAGATGCACTTGGTTATTTTTGATGAAAAATTGTTCTGAATTATTTCATATCTTTCAAACTTTTTTTAATGAAATTCAAACTCAGTTTGGTGTTTCTATTAGAGTTTTGCATAGTGATAATGGCCGTGAATATCTTTCTCATTCTTTTAAACAATTCATGGCTTCTCACGGTATTTTGCATCAAACTTCTTGTGCTTATACACCTCAACAAAATGGTGTAGCTGAACGTAAAAATAGACATCTTATTGAAACAACTCGCACATTTTTAATTCATGGAGATGTTCCTCAACATTTTTTGGGTGATGCTCTTCTTACTGCATATTATCTCATTAATCGCATGCCTTCTTCGATTTTAGATAATAAAATACCTCATTCCATTTTATTCCCTCATGAACCACTTCATCCTTTACCTCTGAAAATTTTCGGGTCTACATGTTTTGTTCATAATTTCAGTTCTGGTCTTGACAAGATTTCTCCTAGATCACATAAATGTATTTTCTTAGGGTTTACAAGATCACAAAAAGGATACAAATGTTTTTCTCCTTCTCTTAACCGTTATTTTGTGTCAAAAGATGTCACATTTGATGAGTTGTCTCTTTATTTTAAAAGTCAATCTTCACCTCTGTCTCCATCCAATCTTATCAACACTCCTAATACATTTAATGTTCCTATTATTTGTGACCCTCTAACTGTGTCTTCTTCACCATTAGTTCCTGCTCCGCAGTCAGCTTCTTCTCCACTGCCTCTTCAGATTTATAGTTCTCGAAACCAATCACAACCACCACCATGTGACTCTACTCAAGTGTCAACTACTCTGTCTCCTCCAGATCTGACACATGAGTCTGACCTTCCCATTGCCCTCCAAAAAGGTATCCGTTCTACACGTAATCCCTCTCCCCATTATATTGTTTTGAGTTATCATCGACTGTCATTACCTTTTTATACATGTCTTTCCTCTATTTCTTCTGTGACCATTTCAAAAACTGTCCGTGAAGCTTTAGCCCATCCTGGTTGGCGTCAGACCATGTTAGATGAACTAAGTGTTCTTCATAATAGTGGAACTTGGGAATTGGTCCCGTTACCGTCTGGGAAATCTGTTGTTGGTTGCAGGTGGGTGTTTACTATCAAAGTTAACCCTGATGGTACTATTGATCGCCTCAATGCTCGTCTTGTGGCCAAAGGTTATACTCAAATTTTTGGGTTGGATTATGGAAATACCTTTTCCCCTGTGGCAAATATGGCTTATGTTCGTTTATTTATCGTCATGGCTGCTCTTCAACAATGGTCTCTTTATCAACTGGATGTTAAAAATGTTTTCCTCAATGGTGATTTGCAAGAAGAAATATATATGGAGCAACCTCTTGGGTTTGTTGCTCAGGGGGAGTCTTCTGGGATGGTATGTTGTCTTCGCAAATCCCTATATGGCCTAAAATAGTCTCCTAGGGCTTGGTTTGGAAAGTTTAGCAAGGTTGTTCAACAATTTGGTATGACTCGATGTGAATCAGATCATTCTGTCTTTTATCGACACTCGAGTGCTGGATGTGTTTACTTGATAGTATATGTTGATGGCATCGTTCTTACAGGTAGTGACAACCATGACATCTCTCAGTTGAAACAACATCTCTGTCACCATTTTCAGACCAAAGATCTTGGCAAACTTAGATATTTCTTGGGTATTGAGGTGACACAGTCCAATGATGGTATTGTTATATCTCAGAGGAAGTATGCCATAGATATTTTGGAGGAAACTGGGTTGATGAGTTCAAAGTCTGTTGATACACCCATGGATCCCAATACTAAACTTCTACCAAATCAGGGGGAGCCTATATCTGATCCTGAGCAGTATAGAAGATTGATTGGAAAATTGAATTATCTTACAGTTACTCGTCCTGACATTTCCTTTGCAGTCAGTGTGGTAAGTCAATTTCTTAATTCACCATGTGAAGATCATTGGAATGCAGTCATTCGTATCTTGAAGTATATTAAAGGATCTCTTGGAAAAGGATTGTTATATGGTTCTAATAACCATACAAGAGTTGTTTGCTACTCAGATGCTGATTGGGCAGGATCTCTTTCGGATAGAAGATCTACATCTGGATATTGTGTCTCCATTGGTGGTAACTTGATCTCATGGAAAAGTAAGAAACAAAGTGTTGTGGAAAGATCTAGTGCAGAAACATAATATAGAGCTATGACCTCAGCTTCCTGTGAACTTGTTTGGCTCAAGCAATTGCTTAGAGAGTTACAATTTGGAGATGTCACTCAAATGACACTTGTGTGTGACAATCAGACTGCTCTTCATATTAGTTCTAATCCTGTCTTTCATGAGAGGACCAAACATATTGAGATTGACTGTCATTCTATTCGAGAAAAGATTATGTCTGGAGATATCAAGACTGAGTTTGTTAACTCAAGTGATCAGTTAGCAGATATTTTTACTAAATCTTTACGGGGTCCTAGAATTGATTATATTTGTAACAAGTTTGATACATACAATTTGTATGCTCCAGCTTGAGGAGGAATGTTAGATATTGTTTAGATATTATTTGATATTGTTAAGATATTGTTAGATATTGGTAACCACAATATCGAACAATATCTTCTGTTTATTCTGTTACTTTCAGTTACTCTTTTAGTTGTATCTCTCTACTATAAATAGATCATCCTATGTGTGATTTATACACAAGGGAAATTAATTTCAAACCCTATTTACTCTATATTCAACAACATTAAAGCAGATTTTTCAATGCAGAGGAGTATATTTTTGTGATGAAGACATAAGTTATAATAATTTTGAAAAATTAATCAATAAGGATTAAAGTTTATTAACAGATCATTAACTTATTAACTTATATTAATAGAATCATGAATGTTATAGTCAGCAATCCTATTAAAACATAATTGTTTTGTCAAAAATATTTTTATACAATATTTTCAAGATTTAGAATTTAACACAATATTTTATCATAAATCTTAATTATGTTCACATTTTATAGGAGTAATGTGTTGTTTTTATATAATAAAATAACTTTTAAGTGAACGTTAAATTCGTACTTCTTTTTTTCTTCTTAATAAACGATTTTATAAGAAACATAATTAAAAATATTTCTGAAAAAAGACGTTGCAGGAAATATACTGTTTTAAAACATAAAAAGAATATTCTCAAATGCCTAAATTTGTTACTAATCTTTTAAAAATACCGAAAGGAAAAAACAAAGTAACAATTTAGAAGTTATTCTGAAAGCATAAATTTTTACAAGTATATTTCATTTGAGAATATATTTTCTTTTACTTTCAATTTTAATGTGCAATTATAACAAATTTTCAATACTTTTATACACAGTTATAAAAATACAGTTTATATTTTCCAAACAAATCTTTTAAAACAAAAAAATAAATGACATTTTTATATTAAAAAAAAAAGTAAGAAACCTGAAAGATACATTTATCCAAGTAACCAAGTCATTGTATTTAGATTAGTAAACCCTTTAATTAGTTGGAATGAAATGGGTATATAATATGAACTGTGATCACAAGGTAAAATGTATTTACAAATGGAGAAATTCCCTTAGAATCATAAAAAGCAGAAATTTATAGGCTTGAGTGAGCTTTCTGCTAATTGGCAATCACTAGTGGTGAGGATATGACATGATGAATATAGGGTCTGGCAATTAGAGGCAAACTTTCTATGTACATAAATAATCTTTTCAAATTCTCCTTGTTGATTGAAGCCAAGTCATTAATCTCATTGCTGCCGATGTAGATCCAAAGATCATCTGAGTTTACTCTTTTGAGATTGTCTCGGCAGAAAGGACAAGATTGAGATCTTGCGTGCCTAAACCAATAGAAAAAACAAGATCCTTAGAAGTGAAAAAAATGCCATCAAATAATTACATATATGATGACATATTTACAAGCTGACACACACTTTGGCTTTTGGCAGAAATTATGCACATTTTACACAAGAAAAAATTAGTAACCTGATATTTCCGATCACTTAAAGTCAAAGTGTTTCAGGAAAAGTATAGTAATTATTTGACAGCAGAATGCTATATTGTACCAAAACTAGAAACATTAGTCAAGGCCTCCAAATTCATGTTAACCACAAGGACTACAATAATTTGTCAACACATTGGATGAAAATTTGAATATGACCCACATCTGCCCTACAGAGACGATTCTTTCTTCAATATTCACTTCTATTCTAGGTCTGGAAAAATTAATAGATTTACTTCTATTCTCCAAGACCAAAAAGGTTCCTTGATATCAATCATATTGAGTTTTGATGAGTCAGTATGATTCATTCATTTAGCCTCAATATCAATCAATCAGAAGTCACTACTGCTATGAATCACTGACGTTTAAGATGGCTATCAGAAATCTGTACTAAAATGCTGTCTCAATTCACTCACCAGTCTTGGTAGCATTTCATACACATTGAATGATTGCAGTTGGGCAATACAACCATGCTATTCACCTCCAAGCAAATACCACACTCTACTTCTCTCTCCATGTCAATTTCAGAAATCTTTCCTTTGCTTGTCAAATCTTTAAGCTTATACTTAGTAGAACATAGATGTTTTTGTTTTCTGTCTTCAACATCAGTGATTCCTCTGTGGAGTTGTAATAAAGAGGGAAACACCACCCCTGTTATTATAGTAAGAGTGTAAAAGTAATCATATTTGGATTGTGAAGCACTTTTCCAAAAAAAAGTTAGGTAAAGATAATAATGCTTATCAATGTTGCACATATGGCATGATTTCAATGTTGCTATTCACTTACCATAGAACTCCTTAAGACTGGCTTTTCTTTCATAGTTGGATATGGTTGTCTTCCCATCTTCATATGCCTGAGATAAATCCAATATGTATTAGAGTTTAATGAATATGCTCTGTCAGAGATATCACTATTAATATGACTTTTAAGATAGTTATTGTGATTTGTGATTGGATAATAATGTGAAATTGCTTTCTACTGTTAGTACATAGCCTATTTTCTGTGTGTATTATTCACGAGCATGACAACAAAACAGTAACATTGATTATGGTTACATTTTGCACTATCATATCTGATATGTAAAGTATGCTTTAAAATGGTATACTTAAAGGAAAGGGTGTGCATTATCATATTAATAAAGCAAGAAAACACCTTGTATATTAGAATTCTGAGCAATCCTAAGACTCCAGCAATGTGACAATCAGTCCATTGAACCAAAAAAAGGAAGAACTGAGCAGCTGGGCTATAGGACAATCTCATTTGGAAGCAGGCACCGCCACTTGGGTACTCAGAAGCTCTGATTGAAACCATATTTAGCTCAAAGAATAAGTTAAAAACCTTAGATAATGAACTTTTTTCAATTTTTTGGAAGAGAAAAATTCAAGATTGAATGAAAGAATGAAGAAAATGGGCAGTTATGTTGCATTTAAAGCCGGCACATAAAAGCTTCTATATCTCATTTGTTGTCTAATAGTAGAAGTCTACACTACAATAAAATTGACAAACAATTTGAAAAGGATGGATCATCTCACAGCTTTAAAATGCACATAAAATTGGAAACTAACAAGACAAATCCAAACATGTTTCATTGTCCTGTAGCCCAGTAATCTGCTATGCTTTTAAACGGCCCAATTCAAAAATTGAAAACTTTATTTGCTAAAAATAAAGTGAAAATTTTGCAGGGTATTTGAACTTTGAACAAGAAGTACCACCATTGCACTAAAAGAGGAGGTGACAATGCCACAAACTGAGGCATCCTTGCCACCCAATGCGAAAACACCAGAAGAATTGAATTGCCCATTATCCAATCTCCTTCAAAATGAAAACTTTATTCAAAAGTTCATTAAAAAAAAGCATACAAAATCAGCCCTTGTGTATTTAGTATCTTAATCCGTACCCTCTTTTCCTTTCCTTCAACTTAATTTCCTATTTTGTCTTCTCCACCCCAAAAGTGCAATTCACTGGTCTTTTACACCAGTTTAAGCATAGGAGGAAATTGTTATTATAAAAGAAGAACAAAACCATTACATGGTAAGATGCGAGGATGAACAGAACCCAACTATAATGGAAAGAAATTGCAGCCATTGTAAGCTACAACCCACAATTTAGAATCCAAAAAGATAGCATCTTCTCCAAAAAGGCAGATATTTGGGAAAAGGAAGCATTCAAAGTAACTAATGATAATCCAACACAAACATAAGTGAAAAGGTAAGAAAAACCTTGGTTGAGTTGAGATTGAAAAGAGAAAAAGGAAGAATTAAATTTACAGTGTGTTGGCAAAGTGGATGTCAGCTTCAAGAGCTTTGACTGAATCCTTGAAAGACTTGCGCATCCTTCCTTCTTCTTCTGCTTCTCCTCTCTTCTTCCTCCTTTTCAGACCAAACCCCATTCATAAAGTCTCACAACAAAACAACTAACATGATAAAAACAAAGCCCGTGACCCTTCTTCCTAGCATTAGTTCTGTGGCAAATACTATTTGAAACCCAACAAAGTACCTCGTTTTACCCCTCGTACCAAACTAACCACAAAAGTGAGCAGTGTCAGATGGATATAGAGAGAGAGTAAAAAGGTGTTGGGAAGTTTTGCTGGGTTTTCGCTTGAGCTACACGTAACTCGTTTGAGTTGTATTTGTACATACATAAGCATAAGTAGATGTATCTCACATCATGGTGATGAATTTGTTTAAATTATTACCCAAACAACACTTACCCCTTTTTTTCTCTTTCTTCTTGAGATTCATGCAAGATTCATTTTGTTCGTTTCCCGTGACAAACGTTTCCACCAGAATTTCTTTTTTGCTTTTTAGCTATTGCAAAGGAGTTATAATTCTACCACTTTGCTTAATATATCATCTTCATCTCTTAAAACTTTTCATACAATTTGTACGTACTCACAGTTATTGTAACAATTTATGTATTTTCAGAATTTTTATAACAGTTTATATGGTTTTTTTTTTCTTTCAATAAACTACCATAATTAGCGAAGTCGTTGTTAGTTCAAGCTTGATTACCAAAATGATTCATTAACCATTTTTTAAATATATTTTACATTGCTACTTATTTTATTAAGTATTGTTTTCTATTTCTCTTACATAAAAATCATGATTTGTATTTTAATGTGTTATGGTTAAAAAATATTAAATATGTTTTTTTTATCGAAATACTTTATTTAATTTTGTTTTTAAAATTTTGTTATTTTTAATATTTTTATAAGTAAGGTTTACATATTAAAACAATTTGTACGCATCAGAAAATAACATACAACGTGGATCAGTTCCTTAACACATGATAAACAAATTATAAAATATAATTTCTAAAAACTTCATCCTAGATATTTCTCTTACACAAAATATAAAAGATACGATATTTACCACATGTTAATCTCACATTAACATTAATTTATAAATCTTCCATAAAAAAATAAACTATCCTAATGAAATTGAATTGAAATATTTTAAATAAAATTTGAATTTCGAATCTTATCATCCATTGTATCATTTGATAAAAATTAATATACTTTCGTGTACATAAAAAATAAATTTAAAATACTTGTACTATTCATTTCAATTATTAAGTAATTAATATGATAAGATATTTCTTAGTTACTTTCGTGTACTTTAACATATTTGTAATAGTACAAATGAAATGATAGGACATATTAGTGTTACAAGAAAGATTTTCCTTGCTCCCAAAGCTTAACAAATTGAAATGAAAAGACTTGTAAAATCTATCGACTAAGTTAACAATTGAAATTTTAATTTTACATTATTCTAGGGAGAATTAATGAATTTCAACACATTATTATAAATTATTTATATTCAAATTCAATTTTTATGAATAATTTTTTCAATCATTATTAGTTGTATAAATAATTTTTCCAATCATTATTTCGGGTACAAAATTTAATTAGTCATAGCAAGTAATTTTTTTTTAATCATGTTTTTTCAATTATCCTATGAAATGATTTGGGTCCACACTGAACGTAGAGAGAGACCCCACATGATGCACCTAATGCTGAAATATGTCGAAGAAAGTATGAATAAAAAAGTGTTTGTAAGAATGGTGTTATCCATATTTGTTGTGTCGGATTTGCTTTCACGTTGAAAGCGAACCAAGAAATTGGAGTGTTGGATAGTTTAATTATTCACATCAAATTGAAGAGGATGCAATATCTTTTGTTCAATCATTTTTGTTGGATAAAATTGAGTTAGTTAATGTTCACGCCACGACGGAATCTAATTCTGATGCAACTTTTGTTTTGTCGAGAACAATTTTGGATTGATGGATTCCTTGCCAAAACAAAAGATGAATTTTGGAGTATACTTGCAAGTTACGTGATGAATCAATTGTTGAAGAAGCTACGTTTCTTAACCCCTTGGATCTTTAAAATGATTGTTTATTGCCCATCAAATGTTTCCAATTTTTGTTCTTGTGGTATATTATGTGTTTGCATGTGAATGATTCGTACATGTTTCATTTTCACCACATGTAAAAACATGTCAAACTAGTAAAAATGATAATATTACTAGGAAAATTAGTTTTTAATATAATAATTTAGATAAATTCATAATTGATAAAAAAAAAAATCTAAAACATAGGAATTTAGAATGAAGTACTTTCTTGTTATCAATCTAACATGATCATTAATTGAAGAAGTGACCATAGAAACAATTTTTATTTGTTGATGATGACATGCCAACCCCGTCATAATCATACATTGGCAAAATAAATAATAAGAAAATAAAAATAAAAAGATGTAACATATAAGGTGGCAACAAGACAAGCAGAAGTTATATGTAAACTGGTGGAACCCTAGAACATACTAACTCGGTGTGTCAATGCAGAAGATGGAAACAAAAATTGACATTTTTCTTTGTCCACATTTTTTCTTGCATATACATTTCTTTTACACGTGTATACATGACAAACATGAATTGAAAATTTATCTAAAGTTCAAACTTTTAATGAATTTTTTAATAATGTTTCTATCTATAGTAAACAAAAGCGGTGTATTTATTAAAAATGATAGGTATATTTTAGTAAAAAATAATAATAAATGAAATTTTATTGTTAAAAAACCTACAATATATTCGCTCCACTAAAAAAAAAAAAGCAGGGAAGAAGGTAATAATAATTAGAATATATTCCCTACACCCAATATAGCACCTTACTTCCAAAGAGTAAAAGATGATAGTTGAATATTCAATAAGTCTAAGCAGAAATTTGGCATGTTTGGAATGGAGTAGCACAAACCTAAGTAACTATCCTCATTACTACAAATAAGGTTTTTCTCTAAAGTATTTTGGCTATGCCTAAGGGAGAGGAATAGCATTTCTCTATTCGGAGTTTGACTCTGGTACTTTAGAGGGTTTTTCTCTAAAGTAGTTTTCTTTTTTTATAATCAATACAAAGTTACCTTCTTTTTTTTTTATCATTTGTTTTCGCTTATTTACTCTTGAAATTTGTTTCTGTATTATTGGTCCGACTTGCCGGATTACGTTAGACCGATAAATGCCACAAACAAGGAAGCAGGAAAGCCACAAACTAGCGGAAGAGGATTTTGGAATGGAGAATCGTGTAGCATCGTTGGAGAGTGAGCTATCGAAGATTAAAGCCTCCGTTGAGGTTTTGAGGGAACAATCGGAGAAACAGACCACGAAACAAGACACCATTGTTGCAAATCAAGAGAAATTGTTTGAGTTGTTCACGAAGAGTTTGGGCAAGAATCATCAAGAAGATGGTGAGAATTCCATGAGAAACGAATCACGAGGGAAGAAATCAAAGGAGGGACCAGAGAAGTCGAGTATTGCAGGGAAGTCACTCGAAGGAGAGGCTCTGGAAGAATTTCGACAATCGATGAAGAAAATCGAGCTTCCTGCATTTATAGGAGAGGATCCAGTAGGATGAATTTCTCGAGCAAAAATCTACTTCCAAGTCCAAAATACGATTGAGGCGGTGAAGACATCCCAAAGACAGCGTTTAGAACACACGAAGGGCATTATGAGTACTTAGTCATGCCCTTCGGTTTAATGAACGCTCCTGCTATATTCCAATCTCTTATGAATGAGGTATTTCGTGGTTTATTAAGGCGTGGAGTGTTAGTATTTTTTTATGATATACTTGTATATAATGAAAGTTGGGAGGAGCATATGAGAGAACTAAAAGTTGTTTTGGAAATTTTGAGGCAACAACAGCTTTATGCAAATATGGAAAAGTGTAGTTTTGGTCATGAGAGCATTGGTTATCTAGGACATGTTATAACACAGCAAGGGGTGGAGGTGGATTCAGACAAGGTCAAGAGTATTGTTGAATGGCCTATTCCATCAAATGTAAAAGGTGTCCGTGGTTTCTTGGGAATAACAGGTTACTATAGGAAATTTATTAAAGATTATGGAAAGGTGGCGAAACCTTTGACAGAATTAACGAAGAAAGAAGGATTTGGGTGGAATGAAAAGGCTCAGGTAGCATTTGAGGAGTTAAAAAAGAGAATTACAACAGCACCTGTTTTGACCTTACCTAATTTTGACAAGGAGTTTGAGTTGGAGTGTGACGCATCAGGTATGGGAATTGGAGCTATGTTGATGCAGAATCGTAAACCAATAGCTTACTATAGTAAGGCATTGGGGAGTAAAAATTTAGTTAAGTCTGCCTATGAAAAAGAGCTGATGGCAGTAGTTTTAACTATTCAACATTGGCGACCATACCTTTTAGGAAGGAAGTTTGTAGTTTATTCAGATAAAAAGAGTCTGAAACAGTTGTTACAACAGAGGGTAACTACTGGAAGTCAACAGAACTGGTTGGCCAAATTATTAGGGTACAATTTTAAAATTATATATAAACCTGAGTTGGAAAATAAAGGGACAGATGCACTGTCAAGGAGTATGGGAGAATTGTCTTCAATGGTTTACATGTCTATCTGGTTAGATTGACAAGAGATAGTTGTTGAAGTTCACGGAGATGAATTGTGGAAGAAAAAAAATAGAGGAATTACAATAGAGACAGTGTGAGAAAAGTGGATTTACTTATAAGAACAGGTTAGTGGTCCCTAACAAGTCTGATTGGATTCCTAGATTAATCCAAGAGTTCCATGCAACCCCACAGGGTGGGCATTCTGGGTTCTTTCGAACGTATAGACGTGTAGCTGCAAACTTGTTTTGGGTAGGAATGAGAAAAGATATAATGAAATTTGTTCAGGATTGTGATGTGTGTCAACATCAAAAATATCTTACTTCTTCCCCAAGGGGATTGTTGCAACCACTTCCTATTCCTGAGCGGATATGGGAAGATATATCCCTTGATTTCATTATTGGCCTGCCCAGATCCAAAGGCTACGAAGCTATTTTGGTAGTAGTTGACAGATTATCTAAGTACAGTCATTTCATTCCGTTG